TTGAGATTCTTGATCGAGTGCGAGAGGTGGCTTATAGACTTGCATTGCTGCCTAGCTTATCAGCCGTGCATTCAGTTTTCCATGTATCCATGCTTCGGAGGTATCACGGCGATCCAGCCCACGTGTTAGATTTCAGCACTGTCCAGTTGGACAAGGATTTGTCTTATGAGGAGGAGCCGGTAGCTATTCTAGACCGGCAGGTTCGTCAGTTAAGATCCAAGAGTTTTCCTTCTGTTCGTGTTCAGTGGAGAGGTCAGCCTCCTGAGGCATCGACTTGGGAGTCCGAGTTCGATATGCGGAGCCGTTATCCTCATCTTTTCCCCGACTCAGATACTTCTTTCTTTTGTCCGTTCGAGGACGAACGGTTGTTTTAGAGGTGGAGAATGTGACGACCCAAAGGATCATTACCTGTTTTCTTACCCATTCTGTACTTCCGAGGCCTTGAAAACCTCATTTAGGGTTGCCTCGATTTGCATGCGCAGTCCGGGCGCGTACCCGGAAGGCTTAAATATGAATTCTGTGAGAAAAATGCTAAATTTTGATATTAAAATGAATAAATTTGACTTCGGTCAACATTTTGGGTAAACGGACCCGGACCCGTGATTTGACGGTCCCGGAGGGTCCGTAGGAAAATATGGGACTTGGGCGTATGCCCGGAATCAAATTCCGAGGTCCCAAGCCCGAGAAATGAATTTTTGTGTGAAATTGTTTTCTGGAAATAATTAAGGAAATTGGAAATGAAATTTGATTAGAAGACTATGGTATTGGGCCCGTATTTTGGTTTCGGCGCCCGGTACAAGTCTTATATATGATTTAAGCACTTTCTGTAAAGTTTGGTTAAAAACGGACGTCGTTTGACGTGTTTCGGACTTAAAATGGAAATTTGATGTTTTATGAAAATTTGGAAGGAATCATGGATTTTGAGGCTTAATTTGATGTTTATGATGTTATTTTGGCAAATTGATCGCGCGAATAAGTCCGTAGGATATTTTTGAGATTGTGTGTATGTTTGGTTTGGAGCCCCGAGGGCTCGGGTGAGTTTTGGATAGGTCACGGGGTGAAATTTTGGACTTAAGGAATTGCAGGCCTGCAGGCTTCGCATTTCCCAAACTTTTCTCGCAATTCCCAGGATTGTTCGCATTTCCCAAACTTTGTTCGCAATTACCAGGCTTCGCATTTCCCAAACTTTTCTCGCAATTCCCAGGCTTGTTCGCATTTCCCAAACTTTGTTCGCAATTCCCAAACTTTTTTCGCAATTCCCATTTCGCAATTCCCAAACTTTGTTCGCAATTCCCATATCTGCAACCTGCATTTTTCATACTTAGTCGATTTTTAAGACATTTTCACCCCATTTTCAAAACACAACTCCTTTGGGCGATTTTTCAAGAACAAACCTTCTTCCAAATCAATTGTAAGTTGATTTTTACTCATTTCTTTCAATTATTAACATCATTTAACATGTTTTCAACTTAAAATCAAGGATTTTTATGGGTAAAATTGGGGGTTTTGGGTAGAACTTTGGTTTTTCTAAAATTGGGGATTTGGACCTCAATTTGAGGTCCGATTTCAAAATAAATTACATATTTGGGTTCGTGGGGGAATGGGTAACCGGGTTTTGGTTCGAACCTCGGGTTTTGACCACGTGGGACCGGGGCGATTTTGGAATTTTTGGGAAAAACTTTGGGAAATTTATTTTTATGCATTCAAATTGATTCATTTAGTGTTTATTAAAGTGATTAAGTGACTTGTGACTAGATTCGAGCATATTGGAGGTGGAATCACGGGGTAAAGCTATAGTTGAGGCTTGAGTTGAGTTCAAAGCATCGAGGTAAGTGTTCGGTCTAACCCTAGCTTGAGGGATTAGGAGCTGAGTCATAATTGCTACTTGTTCTGTGTTGAGTACGACGTATGGGCATGGTGACGAGTATCCATGCGTCGGTGTCGAGCATGACCGTGAGTCTTAATTTGATAATTGTGTACCCTTGTTTGATCCTATGAAAGTTGTGACTGAATATTGGTATTAGTTGTGCCAAGAAGAAGTTGAATAGGATTGGTTATAGCTGACTCTCCCTTGTCGGGATGTTTGACTTGTTGTTATAGTTCCCTTGCCGGGAAGATTATTAATTTTATTGTTCCCTTGCCGGGATTGTATTGAAGGTAAATGGAGCGGGTGGTACGCCTACCACAAGTGATATTGAAATGGGAGCGGGTGGTACGCCTACCACAAGTGATATTAAAATGGGAGCGGGTGGTACGCCTACCACAAGTGAAATTGAAATGGGAGCGGGTGGTACGCCTACCACAAGTGATAGTAAAATGGGAGCGGGTGGTACACCTACCACAAGTGAAACTGAAATGGGAGCGGGTGGTACGCCTACCACGAGTGATATTGAAATGGGAGCGGGTGGTACGCCTACCACGAGATATTGAGAAATGGGATCGGGTTGCACGCCTGCAACAAGATGACTTGAATATGAAGGTTGCCTTATCTCTTCATTTATTGCTAGAAGTTAAACTGTAGATGTACGCGATATTATTCCTGATATTTTATTTCTATCTGCTACCCCTGAAGCATGCTCCCTTCCCCAACTTAAATTGTTTATTCTTGCTATTTCTATGTGGTACTTGTATATATATCTGCACAGGTTATCTGGAGTCTGGTCCTAGCCTCGTCACTACTTCGTCGGGGTTAGGCCAGACACTTACCAGCACATGGGGTCGGTTGTGCTGATACTACACTCTGTGCTCTTTTTCACAGATCCAGGTGTTGGACAGCAACTGCAGTAGCGCGGGAGTTAGCCTTCTGTCCAGCGAGACACCAAGGTAGCCTTGCAGGCGTCCGTAGGCCCGGCGTCTCTTCTATCTTTTATTTCAGTCTGTTATCTTATGTATTTCGAGACAAAGAGTTACATTTTCTTTCAAACGGTTGTATTTAGCACTCCTAGTAGTTCGTGAGTATGTGACACCAGTTCTTGGGTAGAGATTGATGTTGCGTTTCCGCATTGTTATTCAGATTTGTTAATTTAAGACTTCCGCTTATTTACTTTATTCTGTTGTTTTCATGATATTACTGATAATTGTTAAAAGAAGTAAATTGGTTAATGCTAAAGGTAGTTAAGGGTTGGCTTGCCTAGCTCTCATCAGTAGGCGCCATCACGACTCCCGAATGAGGGAAATCCGGGTCGTGACAATAGATGGTCCCTGCTTTCCGGTGACATAACTTTGTGTCGTCGCAAAGCTGGTAGAAACATAATGATATAATTGAGCATAATTTTCAAGAATATATAATGTATATTATAAAAATACATTTATTTAAATAATTATCTTTATATTACGTGCATGAAATATATATTTTACTACGTTTATTTTTTTATTCTGAATTGTGTAAATAATATTTGAATTTTTATTGTTAATACTAAAATTATTATTACTAATAAATTATTCTAATTAATATTTTTTTACTACGCTCATTATTTTGTTGTTCCAGCATTATATATGCTTAAATACTTTTTTATTTTTTTAACTTATAAATAATATTTATTTATTTTATAGATAAGTTCATAATATAAATTAATAAGGGGAAATTATAATATTAAAAAGTTTAAAAAATAAAAAGAAGATAAATGTTTATATTTAGAGGGTAAAATAGGTATTTGGCAATGCAAAATTTAGAAAATCTAGTTGAGTGACCTTCTGAGTGCAATAGGCATAGTTCAGTGACTTTGTTGTTACATTATGGTACGTTATTGTTGTTGCTATTCACATTTGACTGATATGAATATTTTCTTGACAAAGGCAAAGATCACTTTTAGCCACGGCTAAAACTAGAGGCATACAAACCGAACAGGAAAACCACACCAAACCGAAAAGTCAAACTAAACCACTTAAAAACCCGAGTAGGTTTGGTTTGATTTGGTTTGATATTGAGTTAAAAATCCGAACTAAACCGACATATAAATATATAATTTTTATATATACTTTTAAGACTTTTTATAGAATTAAAAAAAAAGTCTAGAAATATTTGTGATTCTCTTATAGATGTAACATTTAGTTAAATATGAAGTGCTCCATATTTACTAACTTTAATTAATGGGTTGTATGATCACTTTCTTATCAAGTGTTAATGAAATACGTCAATCTCTTTGTTCTCCCATATTCATACTTCAAGATCTATTAATCTTATATCTTTTTGGAATTTGAAATGGTATTTTGATAATTTAAAATTAAATAGAACATACTATCATTATATAGGTTCATATTTATTTTTATGTTTAATTATTAAATTCGGTTAACCTTGAAAGTGTACATCAACGTAAATTATTGTCAGATAACTAAAAAATAGCTATCATGTGTTACTTAGAGAATTCTTGCATAAGAATATTTTAATAGATCATATGTTTATTAATTTTCAATTTTTACTAACACATATATTTACTTATCAAAAATTTAACAATGTAAGATTGAAATGATGTTCATAAACAAACAAAAAAATCCGAAAAACCCGACAAAACCGAACCAATCCAAATCGATATAGTTGGTTTGGTTTTGATGAAAACCGAACCAGCTCGGTCCATGTACACCCCTAGCTAAAATTAGTTATATTTGATAGATATAAAAGTGTATAAAATTTATATATTTTATATATACCAAAAATATATATATATTTTTTCGACTATTATTTTGAGAGCAACTATATACTATTATTTTTCCTTCTAATTACAACAAGGTTTGAAACTACTATCACAGTAGTAAACTAAAATAATATAGAACGTGAAATTAGCTTGTGAACTCGATCAAAAGCCTTAGAATAAAAAGATAAAATTTCTTGATTGAATTGTACAGAAGCAAAATCCAGTGCAACGACGACATAGATGGGTGTGTTCCTCTCAATTGGGTCGGCTCTTCTTCGTAGAAACACGCCTTCTTTGGGACCCACTTTCCTTGTCTCTCCATATCAAGAAAAGTCTTTCTCTATATATATATATATATGTGTGTGTGTGTCTGTTTTCTACCTATTCACTTTCATATCCCCAATCATAAACTACTTTACATTTGTTCTTACTAATATCCATAAACTTTTGAGTTTTAAACTTTCCATGAATGACATAATGTCGAATTCTCAGGAATTAGGAACACAGAACAGCAATTCAGAGGATGAGCTGTTACCCTTTTTCTCTTCACCAACGTAAGTCAACTCTCATCTCGTTTACCCTTTAACCATGCAGTGCTGAGCATATGTTGCAGGACTTGACAAAAAATCTGACTGGCTTTCTGTTTGTGTACTGAATATTCTTACTCAACCACCTTTATTATCTTTCTTTTTTCCCACTGATTAAATGGATTCTGCTTATTTGCCAATATTCTTTCCCAATAAATTCAAGATTTTTTCTTTATGTGACAGTCGCTTCAGCTTGATGTTTCTTTTTCTTTGTCTGGCAATTGCTTCTGCTTGTTGTTGCTTCGACAAGTTTCTGGTTTATGTTTTGCTTAATTCTTGCGTTCTTTGATTTTTGTTAATAGTATGAAGAAATTGCTGGAGGTGATGGTTATCCAGACCTTTGACCGCGTTTTAAAGCCAACGTTGGAGAATTTGATTCGTAATGTTGTAAGTACAATTCTTGAACTTTTGGGCAGTAAGTGTATATATGATCAATTAGACTATACTCAAACTTCAAATCTATGGAATTTGCTCTAGTTTATAGTCAGGTTTCATCATAATGATTCTGTCAAATGCTTACATTCTCATAGATGATATCACAACGGATTTTGATCCCTAGCATTTCAAATTACCAAATTTAGTCAAGTTAGTAAAAGATTGACTAGCATCAATTTTTATTATTGTGAAAATCTTGAAAACTGGCCTACAGGTGAAACATTCACCTGATGTTAGGCAGGGGAATAGTTGCTAATTTGTCATATGAATCAATGACTTTACAATTACTTGTTACCATTGCTTCTTTTCATCTTTTATTTAGCTGAGGGGCCAAGGGTCTATCGAAAACAAACACTCTGTCCTCCTAGGGTAGGGGTAAGGCCTGAATACATACTACTATCCTCCCCGATCCCACTTGTGGGAATTCACGGGTTTTTTTTGTTGTTGTTGTTAATCAATGACTTTACAGGTCAGATTTGGAATCATTAAGGTGGTGTTTTGTTCTTCAAACTCTTCAATTTTTCAAAACAAGCGCCACCTAAAACATGAAAGTATTTTAGTGAATATTTCCTATCCAGTGGCTATTGCTCCAGAAAGCATATGCTGCTTAATTCTTGGGACTTAGTTGTTATGAAGTTGATGTTCTTCTTGCAAAGACTTCTTCTTAATCTACTTTCTCTAACCAGGTAAAACACGAACTTGAACTGGCAGAGAAGAAGTTTTTGACTGCCAAGGGGTAAGAGACATTCTCTGGTTTTTTCCTATTTTCTATTTAGCAAGTGATAGTATCTGATTGTCAATCTCATATCCAGAAACACTGAAAAAGGTATTCAAGCTCCCAAACCAAGAAGCTTGAGGTTAAAGTTCTTGACAAAGGTATCCGACCCTGTACTTACCGGAGTGGAAATCAAAGAAGAAGGAGGTAATGCTATTGAAGTGGCTTTAGTTGATGATAATACTGGAGAAATTGTTGAATCTGGATCAGAAGCATCAGCTAAAGTAGAGATAGTTGTACTTAGGGGAGAATTTGGAGATGATGATGGAGGTAATTGGACAGCTGAAGAGTTCTGTAGAAATATTGTCAGCGAGAGGAAAGGAAATAAGTCTCTTCTTGCAGAAACTGTACATGTGAGACTCAATAAAGGCGTTGGTTCTATAGATCAGCTAAGATTTACACATTCTTCAATCTATATGAGAACGGGTATGTTCAGGCTAGGTGCAAGAATTGTTGACACTTTCAATAATGTTCAAGTAAAAGAAGCAAGGACTGAATCTTTCACGGTCAAGGATGGGCGCCAGCAATGTAAGTCGCTCTCTATTTACATGATATGAGCAGATAAAGGAGGGTGCTTACAGGAGTCAAAGTTTTGAAAAGAAAATTTTTACTGTAGCTTTTGAGGAAATTTTCCCGGTGAAGTTTTTATACTAGACAAGTATCAGAATTCTAGATAACATTTTAGGAGACATATCAGAGTAGGCGCATATTGAGTTAATCAATCTAACTTGGTAACATACATGGTAGCATGGTTAAAACTACGAGAGTAAAGTTGGCTATGAAGTTGAACCTCTAAATGTTGTGACATATTGTGGCCTTGCACTTGGAGATTAGAATCAGACTTAAATGTGATTCACTAAATTTTTTTAGTGTTCTCCATATTTCAGTAGTGATGAGGCACAATAGGAAGATAAAGCTGACAAATTAAACCATTACAAGATCTAACATGTTAGAGTGCATGCTGATTACTGCTGGTTCTATTTGCAGATTATGAGAAGCATGATCCACCATCTCTATCCGATGGGGTACATCGGTTAATAAACGTAGGCAGAGGCAGTAAGAAGAACCTCCGGGTTGAAAATGTCAACACAGTGGAGGACTTTCTGATTTTGCTCCTCAAAGACCATGACCGACTCAAATGTGTATTTAGTTTTATCTTTTCTTTTTAAGTTTCACCCTACAGAGTGCTTTCTACCGAGATAAGCATGTTTATTTGTTGCTGAACTGAATGCATCTTTAAGGTCTAATTCTGAAAACTTAATAACTCGTCGATTGGTTACCTAGACCTACTATAAGATCATGGCTGATGTTGCCAATTTAACCTTGTATTAGTAGTTAGCATTAAGATTAAAAATCTAAAACCAATTTTTCATTGTAAAGATATGTTTCACCCTCGTTACAACCTAAAGCTAGTGCCTATCTATTTGTTGATTTTCAGGTACTTAATCTAAAGCCAAGACAATTGGAGGAGACATTAAGCCATGCTCGAAGATGCATAATCAATGAACGGATGTACTCTTTTATTGACTTTCAAGAAAAGGAAGGTGTGGTTTTTAACATTGTTGGAGAGGTGCTAGGGCTTATTCTGGAGTTCCATTATCTACCTATGCATCTGTTATCTGAAAGTGATAAGGCACGATTTTTGGACCAAACTTTTCTCCATTTCCTTATTTGTCCTTTTGTTGCTCTTATCTCATTGCTGTTTTCTTACTATTCTGGAGTGAGATGACAGGCTAAGGCTCAGAGGCTGCTAGTATCTGCATGTGAACATTGGGATCTTGTGGTACCGGTTGATGATGAGACATCTCTTGTGCAATATCTTTCTCAAATATTGCCAAACCCTTTGAATTCTCCAAGTCGAGAGGTTCCTAGCACCAATAACGCCGTTGAGAATTTAAGAATAAGTGATGGACGTTGTCATACCTCCAGAGTTGCAAGTGCAGTCAGTCCGAATGGTTGTGGTTCCACCAGTATCAGTAACCTAGATTTCTCCAACTTCCCAATATATAGTCCTTCATTCCAAGATATTTTGATTAATGAATTCAACTTCGGGTGTGAAGACTTTGTTTCTGAATCCGATGCTCATCAACCTCATGATTCTTCTGCATCTATGCTAAAAGCGCAGAGGCGGTGGAGATTGTTGTTCGGTGTCTTAAAATTTCTCTGTGCAAAAAGAAGAGCTGCAGCATTAGATATTCAAGTTCTGAAGAAGCGGAAAGTCATTTGATTCTGTGGCTTTAGCCTGTTACTAAAGAGTTTGACAGCAGGTCCATTTTTCTTAGTGATTTTTCTGATTGCTAAAGATTTTTAAGTGCTATAGTAGAAAGAGTTTTGACTACTCTCGTGATGTTATCAGTTGGTAGGATACATCTCAGAGCTCTTCATCACAGACAGGAAAACATAACCTTTCCCTGCAGATTCTAATTACTCGTTGTTCTGCTGCAGTGCTGCTTTTAAATCTTCATTTTTTTAACCTGTAGTACTTCACTTAGCATTTCTCAAATTACTTTAAGAGGGCATGTATATAGGTGTATGTTAGCCTGTTTAAAGTCTAATACCGTTGTATGTTCGAATGTGTTTAGATTCATTTCATTTCAAGGTTAACTATATCGAATATTATTGATGATTAAGAATCCCAATAACTAAGAGTCTTTATTTCGTGAATCTGAACTCCTATATAAGGAGCCATCTTTTTGTTGCTCTCCACTCCGTTCAATACTATATGTTTCTCTTTTATTCCCTTTTAGATTAAGTTTATTGGTACTGTAGCCAAAGTTGCTTCATATGACTGTAGCCAACAACAAAGGGGGTTGAAATAATACTTGGTGAGGCAAGGCTTTGTGTTCATATTACTTGAGCTATATTTTACCAGGTGGAGCTCGAAGAGCCAGTCAAGAAAGGAAAACTAAAGTCGCGTGGGGAAGTACTAATTGACTTGTTGAGAAAATAGTCAACAAATTACTGGAGATTTGGACTAGATGCATTGAATAGAACTGCAACAAAAAGAAATGTAGAGACAACACAGGTATGATTCTTTTTTATGCTTATCGAAGAAAAATAACTTGTTGCTCTAGTAATATGGAAAGAGTTTGTCAAAAACAATATGGAAAGAGTTTAAGCTATAAACACCATCAGTATAAAGAATTCTTTATACTATCAGGTCATTCAATGGATATCTGCAGGTAAAGCCTTCTTAAAATGTTATCTTAAAAATAAGACAAGTTACCTGCTACAACACGTAAAGGTGACCTGGAAATTACTCGATGCTAGTGTATGCCTCTCTCTCTCTCTCAATAATTTGTGTAGTATCTATGCTGGTTTTCTTATTTTTCAAGCTAGATACAAGGAAAATGAATTTTCATTGAGCACCTCCTTTAAGGTTACTAGTTTTTATCTGTCTCTCCGTTTCTTATGTCCTCAACTAGCACTACTTAAAGTTCTTTCCAATGCCACTCTTAACACTTACAAACTGCTTCTATGCCTTCTCAAGTGATGTTCTCATCACTCATGTTGGCTGAATTATCTAACTTAGAGAAATCATACATGTTGCCTTATTTCATTATTTTTCCTCATAGAAGTCCTCTGAATCCTGACAACATAGAAAATTATTGATCGCGGTTAGTTATCTCATCAGAAATGATTTGCTGTACAACTGCACCTGGTTATTTTATGAGCTTTCATTATGACCATTTCACATGAGGTGTAAAATATAAGCATTACCACAAAAAATTGAATTAAGTGGAGGAGAAGTTTTAGATTGTCAATATTACATGTTTTGTCTTTCAGCTTTCTGAAACATGGAACTCTGCATGACTACTGATAGATCTCATTCTAATGCCATGATGAATACTGCAGAGATGAATTGCTTTTGGGATTCACCTATTAGCAGAACACATGCCATGACGAGGTATGTAGGATTTTCTCAATAACAAGGAGGAGAATCCTCTTCCTTTTCTTTTTTTCTTGTTCTTTAATCAGTAAATTCAGAGAATTAAAATGATACATTTGTAACTACATCATTTGACCAACTATCGGAGAAATTTCTGTATATTATTCTATTCTTGAAATATGTAGAATAATAGAAAACAAGTGTTGTGTATACATTTCTATAGTAATTGCTGAAAAGGCTAAAGCAACTGTAAGGCCTTTCATATTGGTATACTATATCAGCTTCAGCAAGAGCATAGAAGTAGATCTGACTCTGTTGATAAACATCCGATGGTTCCAACATTCTGAAACTCCTAAATTTTGCAAGCCTTGTTGTCCTTGCACATTTCCTCCTGCATAGAAAGAAACAACAAAGGCAACATCTTAGTAGTTTGTAGCCCTCCTTATGTGTCAAAAACATAGTTCAAACAAAATGCTCCTCCTTATGCTTTATCTATTGAATGTCTTCTGACATAAGTTCAACATTTTAGTCAAAGACAAACTAAATATCTAAATCAGGTTTGTTTTCTGCCAGAAAAGGAAATAAAGTGTAATATTCCGTTCTCTCCAGATCTTATTCAATTTCCATGTGACAGACATGAGATTCAAAAATCTAAACAGCATTTTATTTTTCTTCAATGCATCAATAGGTTCCAAATATTAATGGATCTGAAGCCAATACATGAGGCAACCTGCATATCAATTGAAAGGCTGAGAAAGGTACTCGTGTAATAAATACATTCACTGGCAGGAACAAAAAAAGTGCGTTCTTTGTGATTATGCGTTTAGTTGAAATCCTTTAAATGGTATGAACAGCAATAACTAAGAACTTAGCTTAAAGGAAATGATGACCATATAGGGACACCATAGTCTTTACCCACCTTATTCTTGCGTGCCAATATAACTTCTTCTAAAGGTGGTCGACCTGTAACAAGAAATACCACTTCAGGAAATTGTTTTAGAGACTATAAGCTGGGGTTTGTGAAGTGCAAAAATGATGGCATGATAAGATATCACAACAAATGTAATGCCGTTGGAATTCTTTCAATGATGTTCCCTCTATATAGTTATAGCCTGTCTGGCCAAGCCGGAAAAATATGCTTATTTTGAGAAGTGTTTTTCTCAAAAGTGCTTTTAAAAAAAGTAATTTTTGTGAGAAACAGTTTGTATTTGGCTAATCAATTTGAAAAGCACTTTTGAGCAGCAATTAGTGTTTGGTCAAGCTGTTAAAAGGTGCTTCTAAGTGTATTTTTCTCAAAAGTGCTTCGGGGGAGAAGCTACTTGTTTCTGCTTCTCAAAAACTGTTTCTGCTTCTACTCAAAATCACTTTTTTTCCTTCAAAAAACTTGGCCAAACACCTTAACTGTAAAGAAAAAAAACACTTTTGGCCAAGAAAAAAACTTGGCCAAATAGGCTATTAGTCTTTTGGAAAAAACTTTCCTTCTGTCATTCCATGATGTGTGATATCCATGTATGCATGTGATCTATAGGAATAAGGGTTCTATAAAGGGGATAAGGTCCATCTGCTCTTTACCTGGAGACTTCTTTATATGGACAGTTTGAAACATAACAATCAAATGGGATTAACCTGTTATCTGAAGACGATACTTTGCCCAGACTCCATACACAGTATCAGCAATAGTTGCAATCTGCAAATCACAATCTTTCATGAGAACATGTGAATCAGTGTAGCACAACAATAGAAAGTTAGAATTGAAGAGGACTTACAGGTTCATATTTTGTAATGGATAAAACAAATGCAAACTTTCAAATATGAAGGAGAAAATTATAAGTATCAAAATTTGCCAAACCTCAACATTTGTAACCACAGTTCCATCTGATAGTATTGCATGTATTGTTCCCATGACCTAAACAATTGGTGACAAAATTGTCATTGCTTCTTGAAAAACGAAGGGAGCTCGAGCAATGGAAAACTAGGTGATTTCTTCCCATTTGCTTAAGTTTTAGCGGCAGACTCAGTACATGTGCTGGTGGGAGGTAGCAAGTACTCGGTGAATAGTCAAGGTGCACAATCTGGCCCGGACACCAGCGTCAACAAATTTTTTTTAAAAAAGTTCTGGATAAAACTATGAACTGCTAGGCAATGCATGAGTTAAGTATAACTAGGTACTTGCTAGATAATTAAATAGGGTGTACTTATAACCAATTAATGGTTTAAGTTACACTACATACCGAAGGCAGTTAAGGAACATACCGTCTTGTAATCGAGGCCTTCATTCTCCTCTGGGCTGTATTCATCAGAACTAATGTCCACGAATTTGATTGTTCCATAAACTTTATTCCTCTCTTTTAACATGTCAACCTAACAAAACCATCATCCAATATATAATAGAGCAGCATCTCTAAATAGTAATTTAAAAAACTAAAAGAAAAGCTATCCTCCATTACAGAGGCGGAGCTAGGATTTGAAACTTATGGGTTTGGGGTTCTAATCCTTTTAAGTTACTGAGTTCTAAATTAATAATTTGTACATATTCAATGGATTTTTTAAGATAAATACATGAATTGGACCAAAGTGACTGGGTTCGACCAAACCCGTACTCGATGGGCTAGCTCCGCCCCTGCCATTAAATGGAACAGAACTGGCAGAGCGGAGAAGAATTTATTTATTTATTTATTTAAACATACCTCACGCATGCATAAGGGACAGTCCCCATCGTAAAGCATCTTAATTTTCCAGTTTTCTGGAGATTGCTGCTCTGCGTTATCCTTCTTAGGTGCCACGGGATCCACAGTTGTTCCACTGATTGCCCTGATCGAATATCTTGGTCCTGAGAATTTTAGAAATAGAAATGGGAATTAGCCTAAGTTTCATCATTATGATAATGTAAGGAGTCAGAGAATTTTCTCTTAAGCCAGCAAAATCAAGAAAAATTGATATGTGGATGAAAAGTTTTTACCATTTTGATTCAGTGGAGGGAATGAATTGTGGAGAAACTGTGAAGAAGAAGAAGCAGCGTGGGATTTGGTTGTGAGATAATGAGGAAGTGAGAGCAGAGCTATGTTGGCTCGTCTTACAACAGGACGCGCTGCCACTCTGAGAGCCATTTGCATATTTTTGCCCAATGTAGAAACCGATGACTTGATGATCGAGATGATTTAAGTCCTATGTTTTTGTGTTCATGTTAACGGCCGCACCTACGTGGCAATTCCACCTTCATTAAATTGATACCATCCTTTTATTGAAATTTAAAAATGTTTGGGCTTTTATTGGGCTCAGATCAAACCATTCAGGGGCTTCAATGCGGTACGATAGAATTGGTCCAATTGATATATTTGTCTCCTCTCTTTGCTTCAAATGTCTGTTTTATTCTTTTTTTTCAATTTAGATGACATACTTTCCTTATTAGTTCATTTCAAAAAGAATGACACATTTTTACAATTAAAAATAATTTAACTTTAAGTTTTTCATTTTACTCATTTTAACCTTAATGAGAAGCTTTTATAACCACACAAATGTAATGACCCCACAAAGATTTTACCCTTAAGCTTTTAAGACCACAAGTTTCAAAAGTTTTTTTTCTTTCTTAAACTTCGTGTTGAGTCAAACTACCTCAACTAAATTGAAACGGAGTGAGTATTTCGTGAAAAGATGATTTGTTTTCCTTTTTCCTTTTACATATTATACCGTCTATAATTAAACTAGACTGGCTTTAACTTTTTAAAAATCGCAGACTTGTAAAAGTTGCATTCACATAGCCCTTTTGAATTATTCTCCTTAAACTGCTATCCGGCCATGTATGCTACTACTCATCATCGGAGATGAAGAATTAAGTGATGAAAATCCAAGACCTATGTGCACTATGTTTAATTAATTTAAGTTTAGGAGTTGATATTAAATAATTAAAACATTTTTTTGAGTTATGGTCGACATTTCTTTCCGCGAGTTGATAAAACAGAGATTATGTAATAAAAATAAACGTAAAAGAAATACACTTTTTACATTCTTTGATCATATTGAGCGCGGTGAAATTGTTCCCTGAAACTATACTCGTAAATGTTCGGTTAGACAAACTTAGGTTATGGCTCCAGTCTTCTTAGGATAATAATTATATTCTTATAGTTATTTGAAAGGTGGAAACAATTATAACAAAAATAATTAATAAGAGGATTATTAGTTGTTCCAAACAAGGGTGTGTGATTTTAAGGTCTTCTTGTTATTCTTTATTAGATATATCATATTCTTGTGACAACCACAACCTTTCGGTGATAAGGAGATTAAAAAAGAAAATAAAAGAAAAAATTAGAAAAAGAAAAAGGGGAAGGGCTAATTCATTGGGGGCATCCAGTAAAATAATCATTTATTGACAACGGCTACACACTTTATTTGATGAATGGAGAAAAAATCTGAATACTATAAAACAAAAATAAAGTGCATGCAAAAAGAAAAAATGAAAGTGGGATCAAAATTTGCAAAGAATGATTGAGGATGAGTTGTACCTCCCTAGCTACATGCATTTCTGTCTGTCCAAATTAATCAAAATTGGCGGGGAAACATTTTTTTTAAATGTAAAATAATTTTAAACTAAATCATCATTACTGTAGCTTTAGTGGCACAAAAACTCGTGAAACAAAATCATTCGCTGAAAAATAAGTTTCTTTTTTCCACAGAATCTTTGCCGGGAGTTTTTTTGTATAGTTATTTGGTGTTGAAAATTTACTAATCCTACTATTTCATATTTTTATAGCGTATGATTCATTAAAGGAAATATTCTTTCTAACAATTTCTTTTTTCAGAGCTCTCGAATCAGGTAAGAATGAAAAAATATTTGTTTATTTCATCACGCCTTTTAGTGCTTTTGCCCTAGAGTTGAAAGCTTCAATAGCTGGGTTGGTTTTTTAAATTTCGTAGGGGTGCTTTGCGTCTTTATACTTTGATGACTTTTCAACAAAGTGACATCTTCATTGTTTTCTCTCTTTTGGTTTCCCGCCTGGTGTCTGGTACATACATTGAAGCCTGACTATAATCAGATTCGCGCCGCGTAAGGCCCCATTCAGGAGAAGCGCTCCCTACCAAGGATTTTTCTATACCCAGGGCTTGAATCCGAGACTTCTGATTAAGGGAAGAGCAGCCCTATCCGCTACACCACATTCTTTGGGGGTGACATCTTCATTGTTGACCATATACTTGCCCTTCAAATAATTTAGATCAAAAAGGAACATACCATATGATTTGTTAGTTTCACCAAAAGCATGGTAGATAATTAAAGACATTAGTATACTTCTCTGGAGAGTTTACTAGTTCTCTTACTAATTATATAATATTATCTGAGATGCTTTGACTCGTTCGTTAAATTTTATCTTATGAAAAGCAATTTGAGATAACAAAATTTTCAATATGACATAATGTGCACCTTGAACACTTAATTAAAAAAGAAATGATAAGTTCGAAATTCTTTTTTATCCTTAAATTATTTCTGAAACAAGATTAATCATCCTACGAATTGTGAATCAGTTTGAACTGTAAATGGAAAGCGATTGAACTATTTTAATTTTAGATAAAGACTATGACCAGACAGAAAGACTTATCATTCAAAAAGAGACAAATTTTAAGTGAAGCGGTACCTTTGGCAAAATTTAAAAATACAGTCCAAAATTCGCGTTGCTATTTTTATTAAAAAAGAGGAGAAAAATGTTAAGGTATTGCATAGCTTACCTCATGTTTTCCTATTAAATGTTGAATCTGAATATTGTTATCTCTAAATTTGAAATAATTAAAACTATTATTTTCTCAGCAACTAAATGTGAATATTTACCTTCATTTAAAAACTAACAAAAAAACAGCTCGGTGAACGAAGCATCCCGCGGGGTCCGAGGAAGGGTCGCATCCTAAGGAGTGGTGATGTAGGTCGCCTATCTTCGGGACTTTTGCCTCGCCCCATATTAAGTAAAATGCATCGTCTCATGCCCCCGCCTTTTAAAACACGGGAAGAGGCGACCGTTGGAAGTAAGTTAGATTGATAAAAATACTTTACACCTGCCTAGATAGTGTTTTTTATGGCACAAGTACGTAAATTAAAATCGTCTTTCTACTGCTATTTAATTACGTTTTAGACTTTTAGATTTATAAGAAAGTAAAATAAAGTAAACATATCAAATAGTACAAAATAATAAATTTATATTTAGAGTCAATATCACGTCTATGTGTTCCTACTTCCTAGAAAAAATAGGCTACCTAAGTCACTAACGAGTATTAAATGCTGCGGTATATACAGCGCACAAAAGCCGAAACTATAGTTGGCGGAAGCCACAATCCTCTTAAGAATCGGCGCGTGTTTCAGTAATGGATATTATTGTCCATCCACTATTACTTTGCTGGAGTCAATGGAATTAGCGAACCAAAATTCAAATTTTAATTGGCCGTGATGCCCCACAATGTAGACAGATAATAATCTATTCACAATTGAAAAAGCCTGTCCTCCCCTACTACTACTAATAATACTACTTGTATTCAACACGTCGGTAACGCCTGAACTTCTTCTCTGACCTGTAATTTACTCAAATTTTCAAAGTGAGAGACTATTCCTGGAAAAAGGAGAAAAAAGGGTCTCTTCTTTTGGCTTCCTCCATCAGAATTTGAGGGATTGAATTTTGAGTAAAGATCTATCAATCAATCTATCTATCTATCTATCTATCTATCTATCTATCTATCTATCTATCTGCAGAGAAGAAAAAGGGAATGGCAACATTTGGAGGGACAACACAGAAGTGTAAGGCCTGTGAGAAAACTGTCTACTTGGTTGATCAACTTAAGGCTGACAGCAAAGTCTATCACAAGTCTTGTTTCAGATGTCATCATTGCAAGGGTACTCTCAAGGTCATTACTTCATTTTCTCACTATTATATATATCCTCCTCTTGACTTTCTGATTGCTTGAGATCATTTATGATCGTCATTTATCCTGAAATCAGTATTTTTTTTTTTTTTTATCCCTAATGTTATTAAAAGGTTTTATTTTTGTTTGGGCGTGTTTAGATTGAAACACTCATGCTACTTGTTAATTCGATTCAAAGAACTTTTCTTCAATCTACATGAAATATATTAGAACAATACAAAAATGGATTGTATTGCTAACTAAAATATTGTCTTCTCTGAATCCTCAATTAACCTCTCATACTGGCACTGATTCTCCTATTTTGTTGAACTGTGAATTCTCTAGATCTATTAACTTTTTTATTAGATAGTGCAAAGGATAAACCATGAATTTGTAACTTCTGTTAGTTGTTCTATTGCCCAAGTGCAGGCATTTCTTTGGATTTATTAAACTAAGACTCTATGATAAATTTACAAACTTTTGCTTTCACTATTTGGTTGAGGAGTTAAGTGATCTGTTTGCATTCAAGTCTTGAAGTCAGATCCTCAACTTAACAGCTACCTTGCTAGCTATAACAGTACAACTCTTGGTTTTTGTTGAAATTGAAGCTCTTCCACCAATTTGGAAGGACAAAGCATATCTTTGTTTCTGATAACTTCATTATATCTCTATGTGTTTTGTGCTACTTGATTTTGTCATAAACAATATGCGCCTTATTACCATGTAGTGTGTTGATTGAAAGTATAAAATAATGTCAACTACTCTCTCGTGTATCTTTAGCATCATTTCCTGTGGCTTTTTTCATCAATCCATAAAAAGATTTCTTGATCTTAATTTCCTTGTCCTTTTTTAAACTTGTGCAGCTAAGTAACTACAACTCCTATGAAGGAGTTTTATACTGCAGACCTCATTTTGATCAACTATTCAAAATGACTGGCAGCCTGAACAAGAGTTTTGAAGGTAACTAGAGCTACCAAGTCGATGTTTCTTAAATCATTTTTTGCATCACTTATTCCTTTGAAGCTTGTTTTCACTTGCTCGTCATATTGTTTGCAGTAGGGGCTCCAAGAACAGCCAGGGAAAGATCTGCTGATCAGGTATTCCATGATTGATTCTAGTGTCAAGATCTCTTATGATCCCTTAAGCATACACCGTTCTCTTCTCTTTACCCGCTGATCTCACTTGTGTTGTGTTATTGATCTATCCAGGGACAATCAAACAGCAAAGTTTCAGCTTTGTTTGGTGGAACTCAAGATAAATGTGTATCCTGCAAGAAAACTGTTTACCCCCTTGAAAAGGTGCTGACATTTTCTTTTCTGTTTAGTAGTTAGCATTAGTTGAAAAAGATGAATAGTAACACTATAGACATTGATCTCTCTTTCGAAATCCAAGCCTGAGTGCCCTAATGTAGGCAATCTAATAGTTTGTTCTGTAATCACCAGAAAATAAGAATTGTTGAATCCCCCAGTTGAAAGCTCTCTTTTTCTTCTTAGATCGACCTATACTTATTATGCTCATTGCTATTTCCCAGGTGGCTGTTGATGGCACGTCGTACCACAGGGCATGTTTCAAATGTAGCCATGGGGGCTGTGTGATTAGTCCATCAAATTATGTGGCTCATGATCATAAGCTTTATTGTAGGCACCATCACACGCAGCTCTTCAAGCAAAGAGGCAACTTCAGCCACATGGAAGATCAGGAGAAGGTTAAAGGGGTGATTGCAAATGGAAAAGCATAGAGTCCTTCCATGAAAGTTTTCGTGTTCGTGTGATTTTGCAATACAACATCGAGAGTCAGCGTTCTGGCCTTAATCAGGTCAAGAGGTTAATACATACAAGAAGGTTATTGCCAATGCCTATATATGCTATTTCATGAGAGTCAGCAAAGATCACTTCATCTTTCTTTTCTGTTGGTGTGCTTTACTTGATGAATAAGATAGTTTTGCCTAAAGTATGTATAATGAAATTGCTCTTGTGGTTGTCCTGAAATTGGCGTGGCTTTTATCAGGGAATAATCTACTTCCCTTGGTTCATAATTCATTTTTCAGTTTTCCTTTTGTTGCAATTTCTTTTGACTACTTGTGCTCAATTATAAAGTGATAAATTCCATGTTATGCTACTTTTGAAGGTAAGAGAGAGTAAGGGTTAGCCATTGAACTTTGGTGGACCCATGTCTATATTTTACTACAGTAGTATTTTTTATGGTTAACTAGTAATGATCCAATAAGGGCCATTGATGTTGGCACTCAAAAGCTGGAATCCGTACGAAGCTATGTGCTACTTGCAGTAAATCAAAAGTTCACTTGATCGATATTCTCCTAGATAATAACACAGTCATCTTAAAATTCCTACTACATCAATTGTGATTGCGCAGTGCGCACAATGCTGAAACCTAACTTAGGTTTTCAAGTCCTTGTTTGTCAAGCAAACTTCTAAAAACTAGTCGTATTGAGTTTTTTTATGGAGTAAAATATTTTGAGAACCAAGCTTTGTATTCGAGTTTCTTTACCACTGCTCTGCACGAGTTTTCACTTATCTCACCCCACCCCCCCAAAAAAGGCAGAAATTAGTGCAAAGCACTGAATATTAGTATGACTAGAGCTGAGACGCCTAATTAATTTCCAGTTTCATATTCTTTGTGAAACTTGAAATGCGCTTGTTTTCTTGGCGTAAAGCCAAACACTTGACTGATATTAAGCCCGAATGTCGAATCTGTTATTCTTCAACAACCACTTTTCCCGCCGTCTCCCAACACAAAATTCCCAGCCAGAATATTCACATAACTCGAAAAGAATTATCTAAATTACTACACCAACGCCCGCCTAAATCTCAACTAAAGCAAATACATGCCCAAATACTCACCCAATCCCTCTCATCAACTGCTTCTTTTGTTAATTCTCTCATTCACTGTTACCTCCACACTAAGGAGGTTATCCCAGCAAGATTTTTGTTCTTTCACTATCCTCTGCCTTCACCCCCCATTCTTATATGGAATCTGATTATCAGAACCTATTGCAAACTCCAAAACTCTTCAGAAAGTTTCAGTCTTTTTCGCCTACTCTTGAATTTAGATCCCCTGATTCGGGTTCATCCAGACGAGTATACTTTCACTTTCATTGTTACATCATGTGCCCACCAAAGATCAATTGTACACGGAAAAATTGTTCACGGGTTAGTGGTGAAAAATGGGCTGGAATCAAAATTATATGTGGGGAATTCATTGATTAATATGTATGCCGTTTTCAAGATTACAGATGATGCTTACAAAGTTTTTGATAAAATGACTGAAAGAGATGTGTTCTCTTGGACTAGTTTGGTGTGTGGGTATGCAAATAATGGTGAGATGGATCAAGCTTGTGAAATCTTCTATAAAATGCCACAGCGGAATGATATTTCTTGGGCTGTTATCATATCGGGTTTTGCTGGAAACGGAAGGTACATGGAGGTACTTGTCTGTTTAAATGAAATGTTTTGTGCCGTTGAAGATAAGGTAAGGCCTAATGAGGCTGTACTTGTTTGTGCTCTATCTGCTTGTGCTAATCTTGGGGCCTTAGAACAGGGAAATTGGATTCATGCTTATATTATGAGAAATGATATTCTTTGTAGTTCAAATATTTCTACTGCTCTTATTGACATGTATGCAAAATGTGGGAGAATAGACTGTGCTAGATTGATTTTCAATAGAATTCCAAGACCTGATGTACACAATTTCACAAGTATGATCTCAGGGTTATCATATCACGGGCTTGGTGAGGATTCCTTAACCGTGTTTAACATGATGTTAGATAAAAAGGTTAATCCAAATGAAGTAACTATTATAGGGGTGCTTAACGCCTGTAGCCATTCAGGTCTGGTAGAAGAGGGTTCTTCAATCTTCTATAACATGGAGACCTTATGGGGGCTTAAACCTCAGATCGAGCACTATGGCTGTTATGTTGATTTACTTAGCCGTGCTGGATACTTGGAGAAGGCGCTTGAAGTTGTCAAGACCATGCACATAAAACCTGATATAGTCATATGGAGGTCCTTGCTCAGTGCCTGTAGAATTCATCGTAACATTTTCCTTGGTAACAGCATTATAGATTTTATAAAGCAGCTTAACTCTGATGGACCTAGTGGAAGTGAGGTACTGCTCTCTAATCTGTATGCATCTCTAGGCAACTGGGAGAAAGTTTCTGAAGTGAGGAAAGCAATGGGTCAGAGAAAGACCCGATCAGACATCGGATGTAGTTGGATCGAGGTGAATGGTGTTGTTCACGAGTTTCGTGTTGCTGATAAGTTACACCCACAGATTTTGGAAGTTCTGGACAAATTAAACGAACTATGGATAGTGCTCTCCTAGAAGGCATTGTTGCTAACACCACGCATGTGATATGCGTCCATTGAGAGAGAGAACGAGGAAGCAGCAGCTTGGCTTGGTGAATAGCTAGCCGTCACGTTTGGTTCCGTGAATATGTTTTCTGGGACTTGAATTGTCACATTATAAAGTTAAGGATTCATTGTGACTGCCATCAGATTTGAAGGCCATTTCTGAAGTTTATGACATAGAGATCCTTTTTTTAGGCTGCTTCTTATTTTTGCACTTTCAGAAGAAGAAATTTGCTACGATGACTACTCGTAATAATGAGTTCCGTGAAAGAACACGTATATCTGTAAAAAAAAATGTTGAACAAACTGTTAGTAGCAGATCACAAGCTGTAAGACTGTTCTGATTTTAGATTTTGACTTTATAGGACGAAACTGAAGTTGGAGGTTCCTATCTTCTTTATCTCAATTGTCAGGTTCCTATCATTTTTATCTCCTAATGATTTTTAATCTACTTTACCACCCAACGGAGGGTTCGCTTTTGATATGAGTCATCATGCATAAGGTGCGTCAGAAAGTTAACATTCTTTAGACATGATGTATTTTTCAATTGAATGAGAGCCCCGGTTGATCAATTGAACGAGGGATGGAAGGATGTTGTGGTATTCGAATTATCTGCAGGGCTATACGATGGTGGAAGTGGAGTGGCTGGAGCTCCTTCAGATCACTTATATCGGGAAGCCTAACGAGTGACAATGCTTAATAGCCCGACTGCTAAATGAGTGCGCCAAATTTTATCTCTAACTTCCTGCATCTCTGTTATGCTTTATTGAGTTATATCACCTATGTCTTCTGTGTCACTTTTTGCATTCCACTACAGATTTGCTTTGGCTTCTTTCCAGGAATTCTCGCTAGATTCCGAGTTCATTCTCCTTGTAAGTGTTTAATGACAACATATGCAATTTATTTCTCCTATGTTCTCTATCTCTCAATTTTACTCGCAGACTTGTTTCATCTTTTGTATTATACTTTTATCAGTTTGTTGTGGCATAAGTTCTTGAAATATGGTTGTAAAGATCTTCTGCATCCATCTTCCATGATCTTATGCTCCTAAGTTACTAATGCATACCCTTTGAGGTAAGACACTAACTCAAGTTTAACGTGATTTCAAGAGGATATTGGACAAGTAATGGAGATATATACTTGTGAGGTACTTGCACTGGTTTACCAAAATTTATGGACCTTCACAATAACATTACCATCATACTCTGGTACCACTGAAATTTTAGGTGGATAAGTTAAAGACGTAAGAGATGCAAAATATGGTTGTTGGGGTTAGTTACTAGTTTTCTTCACATTTTAAATTGGGAAGCTGAAAATCAAATGAAGGTCCTACAATGGATATGATCTTGCCACATTTTTTGTTTGGACCACAGCTACATTAATGCCATGATCTTAATTTGATTCGTTTAAGTTCCTGTGGTCTGAAACCAATGAGAGAGTTGGCTAAATTTCTCTCCAGATGGTAGTGCTCTACCTTTTTACTTCATCAAAGCATCTGAAAGATAAAGTTGAAGAAAAACCGAATCAAACTAAAAAGAAGAAAATCCACCTAAACTCGTGTAAGAATCAATATGTACTTTAATTTTCATTAAGTACTTAGAAGTACAGCAGTAACAACAAATTCAGAATAATCCCTTGAGTGGGGTTGGGGAGGGTAGTGTGTACGCAGACTAGGGGTGGCAAACGGGTGGGTCGGGCCGGATATGAGACGGGTCAAAAACGGATAAAGTATCCGGCCCGGCCCATATTTAATACGAATGAAAAATTGTTTAACCTGGCTTCTTGGCTTTACAAATATAAAAATTAAACCCATTAATTATTCATTGGTTATACATTTTCTAAGTGGATAATATGGTTTTATCCATATTTGACCCGTTTTTAAACAATTCATTATCCATCCATTTTTTAATGGATAATATGGGTGGATAACTATTTTCTCTTAGTCCCGAAGGGACGGCCCAGTTGGGTTTGGAGGGAGTTGTCCACACGGGCGACGCGGGTTCGATACCCACTCAATGCCCTCTGGGTCTGAACCTGTCGCACGGGGCTTGCCTAGTGCGGTTTACATCCCCTGTGTGGTTTGCAGGCTATTACACAATGGGGGGTTTACCCAGTGCGCACAGAGTGCTCACCCGAAGGGCAGAGGTTGTAGCGGCTGCGGGTTTTCCTGGGGTTCCCAAAATAAAAGAAAAAAAAAACTGTTTTCTCTTTCCACTTTGCCACAATTAACGCAGACCTTATTACCTTGAAGGTAGTGAAGTTGTTTCCGATAGACCCTCAAGATGAAAAGAAAGTATTAACAACAAGCATAATAACAATACAATAAGAAAACGAAGCGAAAGAAGCAGTACTCAAAAGTATTAAATTAAATTGAAAGAAAATCCACCCAAACTTTGCTTCTACATTCAAAATACCATTTTTTAACTTCGGCTCAATCAAATTTATGTCCAAACGCTTTAGTTTGCATAAAAAACGAAAAAAATTTAGAAAGTTGGGGAGCTGTGAGAAAGCTATATTTTGCTTTCTCCAACTAGTACGTTAGGCTGGTAGCAGGGAAAATCTAAAAGAAAAAGAAGGATCTAATTGGCTTTGGTAGGGAAACTAGAAGAAGGGGAATGATGCACGCTTGTTCCAGTGCAACAAAAGATGACTGAAATGATTGCTTTAAGTCAAAAAATGAACGAAGCATTATTATTACAAATATTCTTAAAAACTTTGCTTCATCAGTTGTTGTCCCATATTGATCATTAT